AACCATTGTAACCATTTTGTCAAGAAATGTAAGAAAGGGATCTAGTCATCTCAAAGAAGAGATAGTCAAAAGAAAGAACCGTAAACTGTCTGTCCTTCTTTCTTGAATGTCTGGATCTTGATAATTATATTTCTTAATGAACATGGAAAAGCAGTCTTCGTGCCTCACTTTCATAACCTGTAAAACAAGTAATAATAATAATACATACCTCCTGGGGGAGTATGATAATTAGAGTTCTTGACACATAATTAGAATTTCCTTAAAAACTCTATTGCTGTCATCATCATCACCATTATTGTCCTTCAGTGAATAATTGAAAACCATGAAGATAAGTTTTCCCAGTAAAACCAGGTTGGGATCAAACTGGACGAAGTATTCATGATCACCTCCTGGAAGAACTTCAGCTAAAACCAGGTTAAAGAGCTGTGTTGTGTGGGTGGTGAGTCAGGCCAGCAACCTTAGAGGTCATCTCTGTGTCAGAACTATCAGTGACTTAATTTGTAGCCACATTCTCTGGACAAAGTAGGATGTACCCAGCAGGGACAGCCTACACCCTGCAGGCAAGATGCATTGTGAACCCCTGTTTTCTCAAGAATTGTTTTGTGCTACTGTGAAATCCTAAATACATTCTGATTATGAGTACAATAATGCAAAGGGATTTGGAGCCTCAGGGAACTGGATTTTAATAATAAACTTTGCAATTTACTAACTCCAGTTACCAGCTACATGGCCTCAGGCAAGGGATTTACCCTCTCTAAACCTCAATTGCTAAATCTGAAAAACAGGCTTATACCAGTGACTTTATAGAGTTGTTCTAAATATGAAAACTAAAATATGCAGAAGTGTTTTTCTAAGTGCCTGGCATAAATTCCAGTGAGTAGTTGCTGTTATTATCACTATTATGAGATGACAATTAGTCTGTCGACCTTACTAAGCTTGAGGGCAATAACATCTTTGCTCTTTAACACTTTAAAGCAGTCTTTTGCAGCAGATTTGCCTAATGCAATACTTCATTTGATTTCTTTTGAGGATTAAGGTACACTTGACCCAAGCCACGGTATTTTCAATCTCATCATATGCATGCAAAAGTTGAACTATGAATAAGGAAGACAGTAGAAGAATCAACGCATTGGAATTATGGTGTTGGTGTAATTATGGTGAAGAATATTGAAAGACCCATGTTCTTCTTGCAGAAGAACAAATCTTGTCTTGGAAGTAGTACAACCAGAATGCTCCTTAGAAGCCAGATTGGTGAGAATTCTCTCATACTTTGGACATGTTGTATGGAAAGAAACATCGTGCTTGGTAAAATGTAATGTCAGTGAAAAAGAAGAGGACCCTGACAAGATGGATTGACACAGTGGCAGCAACAATGGACTCCAACATGACAATTGTGAGGATAGCACAAGATTTCATTCTGTTATGTATCCTACACATACTATACAGTTATGTATAGTCAGAACTGACTCATCGGTACCTAACAACAACAGGCTTGTGGGCATGAAAGGTCAAGAAACTATGAAGAAGAGCCACAAAGACCCATCATCTCTTCTGGCCACCAACACACAGTAAACTGAGTAAACACTCAGTAAATATAAATTGAATTAAATGGGGCATCAACTGCATTCAAAATACATGTGTCACAGTGAATGGATCTCCAAAGGCCTTTCAGGATTTTGAACCCAATCAGGACAGTCCATGGCAAAGTCTCTCCCTTTTGTAACTTAACAAAGGAACACTGAGGAAAGCAAAGTGGACAAAAAGCAGTATTAAACCTTTGTTTGTTGTTATGTGCTGTGGAGTCAGTTCCAACTCAAAGTGACCCTGTGCAGGGTTTCCAAGGCTGTAAATCCTTATGGGAGCAGAAAGCCTCATCTTTCTCCCACGGAACAGCTGGTAGTTTTGAACTGCTGACCTTGAGATTAACAGTCCAACTCGAAACCAAAGCTCCTTATTAAACCTTTAGAGTTTATCAGTTTTCAAAGAAGTTTAAACCATATAAAAATTATACTTGTTGTTGTTAAGTGCCGTGGAGTCGATTCGGATCCATAGCGACCCTGTATAGGGTTTCCAAGGAGTAACTGGTGAGCTTGAACCGCCGACCTTGAAATTCAAACGGCTTTGCAGTCTGGCGCATTAACCCACAGCACAACAATGTTGTTGTTGTTAAGTACCATGGAGTCGGTTCCGACTCATGGTGACCCTACCCAGGGTTTCCGAGGCTGTAAATCTTTACGGGAGCAGAATGCCTCGTGTGTCTCCCGCGGAACCGCTGGTACTTTCGAACTGCGGACCTTGAGGTTAGCAGCCTGATTTGTAACCACTACGCTAACAGAGCTCTTCAGCGCCACAATAGAGGCTATTAATTCATCTCTTGTGAATGTGTTTTTATTACTTTGTTGACTTTTTATGGCAGAGGTAAACAAGGAGGCTTCAAAAATTCATGGGAAATTTTCATTATCTTTAAATTCTATTTTTCCCAGGAATTTTTTTTTGACATATTTTTAAAAACTTAAAAAAAAATTTTTTTTATTGTGAATTGGGTGAAGGTTTACAAAGCAGATCAGTTTCTATTCAACAATTCATACACATTTTGTTGCATCTCATTGATGGCAAGCCCCACGATGCAACATCACTTATCCCACTTGCTCACTGTATTTCCTGTTTCTGCTCCTCCTTTCCGAACTCACTGAATGTTGTCATTGCATAAATGCTGCACTTTTGATCTCAATGGTTAATTACACTAAGGGGTGCATACCTCGCTAATGCTACTGTATGGCTGCAAATTGAGCCACGGGGATGAGTTCATGTTCAGACTCTGAGGGTGACAAAGACCCATGGTCTCAGAGGTTCCAACAGTCTTTATCTGACCAGTAAGCCTGGCCTTTCTTTTGACTTTTAGTTTGGCTCCACAATTTTCTCCCACTCTAGCCAAGAGAAGGAGAGCCCTTTGTGACCCCTAACGTGTTTTCTTTCAGAGTAGTTGGTAGTGTAGGCAGACACCATATAGCTGGTTGCAGGGTTGTAGAGACTGTTTGCATTGTCTATAAATCCACTGGACTAATTTTTCTCATATGCCTTTGATCTTCATCACTCTTCTTTCCTCCAGACAAGGAGAAACCAATAGTTTCTCCTTAGATGGCTGCTCATGAGCTTTTAAGACCCCAGTTGCTATTCACCAAAGTAGGAAGTAGAACACTGTCTTTGTGGACTATGTTATGTCAAATTATCTTGGTGTCCCCTGAGCCCTTAGACCCAGTGGCTCATTTCTTCAAGGTATTTGGTTGTGTCTAAGAAGTTTTCTTAAGTTTGACCCCTGTATGCTCCACCACACTCATGTATATATTTGCAGCAAAAGTAAATACCCATGTACACATATCCTCTGTCAAACCTTCATATGTGTAGATATACTCCCACTCTCCCTCACACACCTGTTAAGCCTGTGTGTCTATATATGCATTGATTCGTAGGTCACCATTATTGCAGGATTGTGTGTATAACAGTATTTCCCTCTGTTGTCTTTAGCTCTTGTCCTCCTCACAGTGTCTTCTCCTACCTCCATCACTTTTTTGCCAACCTCCCTCTCCATTTTGGCTTCCCCTTTACCCTCCCTTCCCCTTTATCCAAGTTAACACATTTCCATGAACTTCTTGAAGCCTCCTAGTACATGATCAGAGTCCTGGTGTAGCACTATAGGATAAGCACTGATTGCAAACTCAGTTTAAGCCACAAGGACAGCAGTTCAAACTCACCAGCTGCTCCTCGAAAACCCTGTACAGGTTGCTATGAGTCAGAACCAACTTGACAGCACATAACAACAACAGCCCATGGTCATTGTAATAACTTTAGAAAATAGAGCTAAGCAAAAAGAATAAAATCACTCTTAATCACAGCTAGATCAATATATAGATTTTTTTTCTTTAACCTCTTTTGACATTTTCCCAGCCATTAATTAGTCTTTAACATCATTTTTAACAGCTTCATCATATTCCACTATATACCAATATTTGTTAACTCAGATCCTGTTGTTTTTGTGTGCCATTTAGTTTTTTCCCAATCATAGTGACCCTGTAGGACAGAGCAGATCTGCTCCATAGGGTTTCCTAGGCTACAATCTTTACAGGAACAGATCAACAGATTTGTTTTCACCCAACGAGCCAGTGGCAGCTTAGCAGACAAGCTCTTAGCCACCACACCACCAGGGTCCCTTAATTCATATCCTGTATTGGAATTTTAACGGATTGTTAATATTTGTGCTATTGAAAACAAAGTTGCGATAACAGGAATTTAATTTTTCCTACTTTTATAAACCCTGCCTAATTTGATAATTATTCTAACCCTGTCTCCCTTTTCCAAACTTTGCAATGAGCCTAAAAGTAAATATGCTCAATTTAAGAGGAGTTGATTTCTTTCTCAGTCTGCAAATCTGTTCTCAGCTTTAGCTTTGCTATCTTAAGGAAGCTCTTTCCTGCTCTTGTGTCAAGTAACAGATATGCAGTCAGCATTCTTGGTTCTGGTTGCTTAGCTCACTTGGTCAGGGCATGGGACTAATCAGGGCAAGGTCATGGATTTGAATTTCCATATTCTCAGGCCACTTAGTTTAGTGTCCAAAGATACTTTTCCTAGCTCCAAACAGTTGTCATCTAAGCACAGTTGTCATCTAAGCACTAACTCTTTGTTTCTAAAGAACCCTGCAAAAGATCATTTGTGTTGTAGGTCAATACAAACCCATCACCACTACTGGAAAGACAGTGTGTCAACAACTTCGTCATCCCCTGGGAAACGTTGTACAAAAGTGTTGTGTCAAATCACATACAATTGATGAGGTGTTATAGAAAAGAGAGAAATAATAATATTGGTCAAAACAACTGGCTGGATTCAGACCAATTATTTATAAGTTTCATCTGTGAGGTCCCCAGTTTTCCTATGTGAGGCAAATTCAGCAGCATGTTTCAAATTGTGGATAGTGTTGTTACTTACCTGGCACTTTTCTCTTGCAGCTGACACAGCCCTTGGCACTGACGATGTCTATGATGAGAAAGGATGCCAATGTGATGTATCAGTAGAAGACCTTACCCCACCACTTAAAACTGTCATTCGAGCCATCAGGTTGGTTTTTAAAAAAAAAAACCTTTGATAAAAATGATTCAGACACCTATTACTGGTTATTTGAATTTCTATGTTGATAAGGTTCTTTTTCCTACAGGTAAATCTGCTAGAATAATTACTTTCCCTTTTCTTATTCATCCACTTGCCTACTAAGTTCTGAAATATTTTTAATACAAAATTCTGCTGTATTCAACACAAAACTGTTCTAAAAGGTGAGTGAAGTTTGAAAAGCTGAGCCATGCCCAAGAGATTACATGAGAATTGGCTTATTATGTGAAATTGTTAGTTTCAGGACATTTAGCTTGTAGATACAATTGGATTTTTTAAATTATTTTTTATGACATGATGCTCTAATCCATGTTCTGTATTTTGATTTAAACAAACAAACAAACAAAAAAATGAGCTTTAAAAATGGGAAACAGCGTACTTTGCTGTGACTTCCTCCTATCTTACTGAAATGTAATTGTTACAGTCGATCTTAATATGCTTCCTCTGCTGTGCTAAGAGGCCCACTCAGATCAGCTTACATTTATATTCTCAGACCTACCATCATGACCTCCCCCAGAAAATTCAGGGTTTGGACTAAACTAACTGCTATGTGTTCAGCCTGCCCAAAGTAATCTCTTTGAGATTTTGTATCTGTCGGAGAATGTTGGATGTTTGTACTACAAAGAAATATCTCTAATCTTTTTGACTCTATCTGCCTCGACCAAAAAGCTAGAGAAAAAGACTAAAATATCTTAACTAAATTAGTTATTCAGATAAATTTTCTAATCTCAAATATCAACATGATTATTTGCTTCCATTTTTAGGTAGTAGTTTGACATCAAGTTAGACATAGCTTTACTCCATGGTTGGAGTCACGGGGAAGCACAAATGGATTATAAAGATTTCAGTAAATTGTTGGGGGAGGCAAAGAAAATCATGATGTAATGAACATATGCTTACGACAGAAGATATTTAAAATCATCTGTAATGATTATCAAAGTGCCGTGATTTAAATGACAAATTATATGTTCATTCATTCCCTGGGGAACCTAGATGCCTTGGGTAATTTAAACCCAGAAAACCCAAGGATTTGGGGTGTAACACTGTGGGTTAATGCCCTGGACTGCAAGGTCGGTTTGAAACACAAGGTTAGTAGTTCAAGCTCACCAGCCGCTCCTCAGAAACACTATACAGAGTTGCTATGAGTCAGAACTGACTTGACAGCACTTAACAACAACAAATGGATGCCTGAGGCCTTCAGTTAAAGCAAGAGAAATGATCTAGAACTGCACTGTCCAATAGAGTAGCCACTTTCCACATCTGATTATTTACATTTGAATTAATTCAAATTAAACAAAATTCAGTTCATTCATTGCAACTATTCACTTTTCAAGTGATCACTAGTCACAGATGATAGGTTAATGGCTACTACATGGGATCAAGAAAATTTAGAGCATATCCTTCATTTGTAGAAAGTTCTACTGAACATGGCTGGTCTAGATGTCACTTTGAAATTTTCTACATATATTCACTAGATACATCAAAGACCGTAAAGTAAAGATGGAGCAATTCAGTCCAGGATTAGCCCGACCTGAGGCAAGTGCCATAAAATCTTATCTAGTAGGAGCAGATTGTTGTTGTTGTTGTTGTTGTTGTTGTTGTTGTTAGGTGCCATCGAGTCAGTACCGACTCATAGAGACCTTATGCACAGCAGAATGCAACACTGCCTGATCCTGGGCCAACCTCACTACTGTTGCCACGCTTGAGTCCATCGATGCTGCCACTTGGCCAATTCATCTCGTTGGGGGTCTTCCTCTTTTTCTCTGACCCTCCACCTTACCAAACATGATATCCTTCTCCAGTGACTGGTCCCTCCTGACAATATGTCCGAAGTAAGAGAGACGAAGTTTGGCCATCTTGGCCTCCAAGGAGCACTCTGGATGCACTTCTTCCAACACAAGATCTATTGGTTCTTTTGGCAGCCCATGGAACTTTCAATATTCTCCTCCAACATTGCAGCTCAAAAGCATCAATTCTTCTACAGTCTTCCTTATTCACTGTCCAGCTTTCACATGCATATGAGGTTATTGAAAATACCATGGCTTGGGTCAGGCGCATCTTAGTCCTCAAGCAGATTTGTTGTTTTGTTATGTGCCGTGGAGTCGGTTTCGACTCATAGCGACCCTGTACAGGGTTTCCAAGGCTGTAAGTCTCTACGAGAGCAGAAAGCCTCACCTTTCTCTTGCAGAACAGCTGGTAGTTGTTAGGTTTCCTAAAAGTCTTACTTAACCCAGTTGTGTATCATTTCCCAAGACATTCCAAAATTTTCTGCTTTTGTTTCAACAACCTATAAAAAGAATTTTGAGCTGCAAGAAAGAAAATAAAATAGGTTTATTCTGCTAGCTAAGTAAGTGCTTTAGCAGTCACTTAAGATTTACTTCCTGTTGAAACTCACCTGGTTTTTGTAAAGTAAAAGTTTCTTGCTTTTCCTAACTCTTTTTTGGTTCTTATTTTTAACAAGATTTTGTTCTTTCTATGTCTATCCTTTATGTGGATTACCAAAGCTTTGTGTTTGTGACACTTGAGGGAAGGGATGCTTTTCTCCTCCATATCCAGATTCTGCTTACTGTTTTCTATTTTTTTCTTAAATTACTTGTGTGTGTGTGTGTGTGTGTGTGTGAGAGAGAGAGAGAGAGAGAGAGAGAGAGATTGAGATTTGGGTGAAAGTTTATAGAACAAATTGATTTTCTATTCAACAATTCACACAGGACTCCTTCTGAACTTTATCCCTAGACAAATGCTGCCCTTTTAATCTTGAAATGGTTGATTGTTCTAAGAACTATGTACCTCCCTGGTATTATTGTCTCTGGTTTGCTTGAGTCATGGTGTGGCACTGTGGGTTAAGGTGCTGGGCAGCAAAGTTGGTTTGAACTGCAAGGTCAGTGGTTCAAGCTCACCAGTTTCTCCTTGGAAACCCTATGCAGAGTTGCTATGGGTTGGAACTGACTCCATGACACTTAACAATAATGGTTAGCTAAACACAAAGTCCATGGCTCGAGCTCCTTGGAAACCCTATATAGGGTCACTATGAGTCGGAACTGACCCAATATCACTTAACTACTATGATTGTGGTTTGGCTGAAAGTTGAGCCACGGGTGTGCATTCAATTTCAGGCTAGAAGGATGTCTAAGCGCCATTGTCTCACGGGTTCTACCAGTCTCTGTTTAACCAGTAAGCCTGGTCTTTTTTGTAAGTTTGAGTTTTGTTTCACATTTTTCTCCCACTTTATCCAGGACTCCTATTGTGATCCCTTTCAGAGCAATCAGCAATTATAGCCAAGCACCATCTAGTTCTGATCTCAAGGTCATGGAGACTGGATCTTAAATTGCTTTTTAAGTTTAATTTGGAATTACAGACTTCTATAAAAATAATATGTACACTTAATACTTTAATAACTTAGTTGAAAACTTTTGACTCAGTATAATTTCTAAAGATATTTGTAAGGACCAATCAATATAGTTAGCATATTTGAAAAGGAATTTGCAAATACAAATACCTAAATCTTATGCAAAAGGGACTTTTCCTGAGGATTGTAATTACATAGATCAGTTCAACATCAGTTAGCTAGGTATTTTTTGCCAAAAGACCTTTTGCAACTCATCTTAAATATTATTTTATAGATATACTATACATTGCAAGTATGAACCATCAAATATTCTTCTTTGAAATGCAACTTCATGTTTTGTTGTTTTTTATTACAAAAATATATATGAAACTCTTAACGAATTTGGACAGGGTCCATCTCCTCTGTATCAATCCAATTTTAATATATGTGTTGCCAAAGCAAGCACTGAAGTAGCAACTTTACTTTGGCATTTTCCTTGTTATATTTTGGTTGTTTGATTATTTAATATGAATATTTGAACATGCCTTTTGTATTTCAGGAGCTCTTACAGAAATAATTTCTCATGAAAGTTAATTGAAAATTAAAATGTGTAGTAGAAAGTATGCATTTCACCGCAAGAATGAGAGCATGGAAAATAATATTACATTCACAAAGTCAAAATTATGATTTTGGTTTATGAATATTTATTAAGCTTTACTATTTTCTAGTTACTTTAGAAAATAAATATTTCTCAGACAGTAAGATGATTTAAGGCACACTTTGAACTTGTCTGGACTATATTACCCAAATGAACTTTGAGATTTTTTTTTTTAAATGAATGATGTCACTGTTTTATAGTCTAGTGAAAAATTACTATTCTTAGACTATTTCCAAAACATTTCTGTTACTCATAAGAATACTTAACTTTGTGTATTTATTCTGAGATTACCACAGATTTTTCTCAAAATGTTATTTTATGTGAATGCACAAGGTAGGTGGGAATGTGTTCTGAAAGTCAGTAAGTATCCCTGCTAGCATAGTGGGTTATGAATTGGGTTGCTAACCACAAGCCCAGCAGTTGGAATCTACCAGCCGCTCCATGGGAGAAAGATGTGGCTTTCTGTTCCCGTAAAGACATACAGCCTCAGAAACCCCATGCAGAATCAATATGAGTCAGAATCAACTCCAAGGCACACAACCACCGCTACTGCCACCGGGTCTCTTGTGCTGACATAAGAGAAATACAACAAGTGGATGGCTTTAATAAACAGACAGTTATTTTTCCCATTTTAGGAGGTTAGAGTCTGAATTCTGAAGCTCTAGGAAAAGGTTTCTCTCTCTGTTAGCTTTGAAGGAAGATCCTTGTGTCTTCAGCTGCTGACTTCTGGTTCCTTGGAGATCTCATTGCCTTGTAGTTAAGTGCCATCAAGGCTATTCCAACACATAGCAACCCTATATAGGATTTCCAAGAAGCAGCTGGTGAGCTTGAATCACCAACCTTGCAATTCAAATGACTTTGCAGTCTGAAGCATTAGCCCACAGCGCCACACCAGGACTCCATTGCCTTGGCATCTGTCTTATCCCATCTCTGTATTTTGCTCACCCTTTCATCTATTTTACATCTCAA